AACATCCATTCCCACCCTCATGCTCTCATATGCACTTACTCCACACTCAACCAACGTGGAGACAGACATAAAGAGACGTTGTACACACGATCACACTCCCCAAGCATACTCTACAAACCGGGTCTAGGTGCCCCCGCCCCTGGAGGGGGGAACTGCACCCAGACCCAGGTGGTGTTTCCCTTGGTGCCACTACACCTTGTAAATAAACTTCACTAGCATTTTCATCCACTGCTTGCATCTTGGGTCCTCCTTCCTCCACACCACACGGCTCGCCTTCCCAGCCGTGACAGTACGAACCAGCGACTATGGACCCAGCAGCATTCAACCCGCCCAAGGAGCTCCGGGAGGATATTGTTTACTCTGTGGACAAATTAATTAACGTGTGGCTGGAGCACGAGGGAACAGAATTTCGCCAAGTCGTGGCTAATCGGCTACAGCGCTTGGTTTCTGGTCTCCCCTGGCTGCTCAGCTCACTTCACCCGCTCGCACAGAATTTCATTCTGAACGAGCTCCGTCTTCACCCCCCGGCTGCTACCACCCACCCTGCAACTCATGCTTCACTGCCCGGTCCGACAGAGGATGTTCTGCCCGGCCCGTCAACCCAGCCTTCAAGGGGGAAACAGCGCTCACGCTGCCGATGCTCCTCGCCACAGTCGGACCTGGGGATTTCTGAGCGGCCAGCTGTGGTGAGTGGACAGGACAATATTATTGGTCTGAACTGTGGGACTGTTTACTCAGGGGTAATGTTCTGTACGGCACAGGACAAAGGCTGTTTATCGCCTCAAGCCCAGTTAGCCGCCCGGCCAGAAGCCCAGTCGCCACCTCCACCACATTCAGCCTCACAATCCATAGCTCAATTACAGTCACAGCCAGACTTATTACAAACCATGTTACAATCCATAGCCCAGTCAGTAGCCCAGTTGGCAGAAGAATCATTAGCCTTATCCTCCGTTCAGTCTCCAACGTCCCCACCATTATTGTCTCAACCTTTGCTTCAGTCGCCCTCAGCTCAGCCACCTGTTCAGCCATCATCTTCACCAACTCCTCCTGTACAACCAGCTAGGCCATTTCAATCCGAAAGAAACTATGATCACACATTCGTTCCAGGCAGAGAGACAAACCAAACAATCCTGCAAACCTTCCTCAAGAGCGGGCCAGTTCTGAGACTGAGATGCACTCCAGGGCCTCCCCAGAGGCTGGGTTTCAGCCCCCATCAGACTCTGGACCCCTGGAGGTTAAGAAGCCAGCTGAGGACTGCACCCGGCTGTCGCTGCCTGAGCTGAGTCACTGCTCAGTGCAGCTGCAGTCCACTTTGTGTTTGCCAGAGGCCCGTTCT